CCTTGGTCAGACTCATGTTGAAGACCACTTGGGGTTTCTCTGTCTGGGCGCACAGGCTCGGGTTATTCCTGGATGGATAACAAGTCTCTCAAAGAGCTACACCGGAGTGTTCTTGTGATCCGTATCTTTGGGGGCCTTGTGTTCGTCATTGTCTGATTCTGGATTGTTCGGGTATCGTTTATCTTTTTATGGCAATCCGTTTATGAGCTTATGAGGTTCTTATTGTTGGGTGTTCGCCATTAGGTTTTTTCTTTACTTACATAACGTATACTTTAGTTACCGTACTTATTTATCCAATTGGTATATAATATGTATGTTTATGGGGGAGGCTGTGGGCGAGGAGTCATGGACTTGGGCAGATGACCAAACCTGCCCGTGAAGAACTAGAGATCGCCGGTCCTGTGGACGTCTAGCACTGAAGGGATCTCGTAGTGGACGAGGGTGGATAGACAGGAGCTTATGCGCCTCCAGTCGGCGCAGCCCCCATGATATGATGATCGATATATATAATATATATATATTATGATATATATATATATATATTATTATATAGGGTGACGCGTATATATTATAGGTATATAATAATTCTTATGGTAATATATGTGTATAGATATGATATGTATAAATACATAAATTCTAATAACTACACATATATAATATAAAATATAAGTATAGTGAGTAAGTACTCACAGGTGTAGGTAGAGTGAGGGTCGAGTAGGGTATGTGGTGCGTATGAGGATATGTTCTAGGTGGGTATATATTGAGTAGGTAAGTAGGTACTATATATATAGAGGATGGATTTATACATACATATCTAACACAATATTATTTATAATTTTTTTTATTTTATAAATATAATAATTTTTTATATATATACTTCTTTTGTATATAATGTGTTGATAATGTGTATATTTATTTACTATTTATATAATATTATTATACGATATTTATATATATTAAATATATAGTATATATAGTAATAATGATATATATATATTATAATATATATATATATATATATATATAGTATATAATGATATATAATTAGTAGGTATAGTATAGCGTGAGCTGATCAGGCTTAGTGCTATTTAACTATCTAGTCTTTATGTCTGCTAGTGCGGTGCTGGTAATAGGCCTAGTTGGGCTCTGATCCTACATATCTTCTATCTATCTACTCATATATCTTTACATACATACCATACCTCTTCGCATACCTATCTACCATTCTACCATTCTATCTATCTCACTAATCCACCAATTCTATCTATCTCACTACGTACATTCTAATCTATTCTCACTACCCTAGCATGTCTATCTATCTCACACTACCGTAGCCATTCTATAGATCGTACCGTGACCGTAGCCTTGGCTAGGTCGCATGGCTACCGTATTACGGATATTCATATAGTAAATGTGTGTGTGTGTGTTTTAATCTATCCATTATCTATACTATGTATCTATCTATCTAAATCATATATATGCACAGATTCATATTATCTATTCAGAATTATTCATTTATGTTAATGTATGATGTATACATAATTACTTACATACATATCAAAATTATGGTGGAGTGCTATCATTGTTATATTATAATCTCACATACTTGTATTCGTGATGAGAATTAACATTCCCACCACATCCAGGCCTGAACATTCGATGAACAGAATCAACATAGCACTGTGATATACATCTCACACTCTTATAATCGTAGAGATTAATATAAAATGATAACTAAATTAATATAATATAATAATAATAAGATAATGAGATTTAGGTATATAATTAATTAATATTATAATAAATGTGATAATATAATAATTAATATTATAAATATAATGAGATTAATATAATGATCAATATTATAAATATAATGAGATTAATATAATAATTAATATAATATAATTGATATCAATATAATTAATATAATTAATATCATGTGACTATGTGAGATTGTAACATGGAAACGGCATCTTTAGGTGTAAATTGAATATGGTTTTGATGTACTATTAGGTGTGGAGAAATATTAGCCTTAGAACTGGGCTTGCATACTAGCTCATGCGGAGATATTTTACACATAACATGAACAAATCTTAGTGAAATATAAACCGAAGATGTCAGAAATGAATAAAAAAAACAAACTTGAATAGCATATCCATACCGATACAGACAAAGACTCCCCCAGGCGCGGTCTCACTCAGGATAACACGTAAAAATTCACTCTTGATACTGTTGAATCACTCTCTTGAGAGACTGTTAGAGAGCATCACAGTCAGGCAAGGTCACCAAGCTGGGTAACTTGTCAATTGACCCACTCGGAACCACAGAGGAGGACGAGGCAAGGGTTCTCCAGTGACCCTGAGGCTGGATATTTAACTGTATGTGTATTTTGTGAATGAACTTATGGGCCCACACGTGTAGACACACACACACACACACACAACACACACACACACACCACACACCACACACACACACACACACACACACACACACACACACACACACACACACACCACACACACACACACACACACACACACACACACACACACACACACACACACACACACACACACACACACACACACACACACACACACACACACACACACACACACGTGTATATACATACACCACGGGACGGGTATCAATCCATTCACAAACAGATATTATATATTATAATATATATATATATATATATATATATATAATATATATATATATATATATATATAATATATATATATATATATATATATATATATATATATATATATATATATATATATATATATATATATATATATATATATATATATATTATATATATATATATATATATATATATATATATATATATATATATATATATAATATATATATATATATATGTATATGCATAAGTCATATGCATGAAGATTATATTATATCTTAAAGAATACTGCACTAGTATCTTCAGTTCCTTTTTGCCTTTAGAGAAACGTTTTTACCTTCGATTTCGCGAATACAGATGAATTCTATTGCTGATGAAAAAGTCTTTTTACTACAGGTATAGTTTTCTTCTATGCTTCATTGTTATCATTATTTTCATTATCATTGACATCGTGACCATTATTATCATTACTATTATTATTTCTATCCCATTACCATTACTATTATCATAATTATCATTGTTATCATTATTGTTATATCATTCTCATTGTTATTAGTATTACTATTTTCAATATTGATATTATAATTTTTACTTATAATATTAGTATTATCATTGCTATCATTTTTATTATTATTATTATCATAATTACTATTATTATAATTATCATCACCATTATCATTATTTATGCTGTTATAATAATTATGAAAATAATGATAATAATTATTATCATTAATGTTGTTATGATTATCATCATCATTATTATCATTATTATTTTCATCGTTATTATCATTGTTGGCATTATCATTATTATAATTATCAATGTTGTTCTCATTACTAACTCCGCCAAGGTTATGTTTTTTGAAGAAAAGGTTGCTTTTTTTTTTTTTTTTTTTTTTTTAATTGGTTTGCCATTAATTTTGGTGGTAATCCGGATATAGGATTTTTTTTTTTTTAATGATTGCAATTATCCACTTTTATATAATTATCATTACGTTTTCTTTCCCGCCAAAGAGGTTATGATTACGTACGTCACCAGTGTATTTGAGAAAGTGGTTATTTTCATGTAATTCTTCAATGGTTAATAATTTTGTTGTATAAAGACCGTGTCACACTAGCATTTTTTCCATCATTTTTTTTTTTTTTTTTTTTTTTTTTTTTTTTTTTTTTTTTTTTTATACAGAAATACATTCTTGCATATAGCTCTTGATCTGACTATGCTTGGCTGAAAAAGTTGACGGAAAGGTTTTCAGACGGAAACGATCATTATCGTCTGACTGGAGAATCGACAATTCGCTCAAAAATGGACAAAATTTCAGAAAATTGTCAAAAAATTGACGGAAAAATTGCTAGTGTGACGGCATTTTAAGTGACCCTATTGCCTTGGCGGAGGTATGCGCCCTTAGAGTGTTGCTAGTTATTTCCATCATCATTTTCGCTGTCTAGTATTTTCCTCTTCGCTGTTATCATTGTTGTTATGATAATAAACATTATCTTTATACATTCAGTCTTGCTTGTTTATATAATTGTTTAATTACATTTATTTTGATTTCGTTTATTTGTTTCATATAATTTCCACTTCATTTATGCCTGCTTTATGCTTTGCTATCTGTGAGTTCAAGGACACGAGGAAAACACACATATAGAACACGATTTTGCTTATAATTTGCCTTTTTCTGTAGCTTTACTGTGAATATACACAGGGAAAAAATATGCAGTCACGTATTAAAATATATAACTTTATTGTACCCGGATACAATATTTGGAAAGAGTTAAAAGTTAGAGAAGGAATAAGGATCTTGAAGCTCATGCTTATCTTCTC